AAAAAATCTGGTAAACCAAATAATAAAAAAAAAATTTTTTTAAGTTTCGGTTTATTAAAAACTAAAAAAAAAACAGCTTTAAAAAAAATAAAATAAAATATTTATTTAATCACCAATTTTTCAGTTTTTTTAAACCGAATTTTTCTTAAAAAAAAAATGTGATTGGTTTTTTTTTTGTAGGAAACGTACTTTTAGATTTTAGGGAAAAATAAAAAAATAGTAAAATTTTAAAGAGGAGTTTGGATAAAGAAACATTCTAACATTTCTTTTTTCTTTATTTTTGTAAGGAATGACTTGGGAATGGTCTTAAAGGACCTCAGGTAAGTTGAATGGAGGAAGTTTGGGAAATTAACTTAAAAGAAACATTTTAAAGTTTCTTTTTTTCTTTATTTATTTTTGTAGAAATAGTTAAGAAATGTCTTAGAGATCTCGGGTAAGTTGAAAGGAGAGAGTTTGTAAAATTAATTTAAAAAAAACATTCTAAAGTTCTTTTTTTCTTTATTTTGTAGAAAAGACTTGGAAACGGTCTTGAAGGATCTCGGGTAAGTTGAATAAAGAGAATTTTTGTGATTTGACTTAATAAAACGTTCTAACATTTTTTTTTCCTTTATTTTTGTAGATAATGAGTTGGGAACGTCTTGGAGACCTTAGGTAAGTGTAAAGAAGGGAGTTTTGTAAAATTAATTTAAAACAACTATTCTAACATTTCTTTTTTCTTTATTTTTATAGGGAATAGCCTTAGAAATGCTATGATATTATGAATAAAGAATTAGTCAATGATGTTTTTATCAGCAAATGATCTATTAAAGCGAAAATAAATATTTATTTCAAATGATTTTGCTGTAGCTGTTAGTGAATACTTTGAGTGGTATCAAAGAATTATTTTTTAAAATTTTATTTTTAGCTTATTGAATAATTATGTCTAATATAAAATTAATTATATCAGTACAATTTAATACGTCAGTACAAATTAATTACGTCAGTATAAATAAATTACGTTACATCAATATGCAATTTGGCATTATGCTGTAATATTATAGCATTTAAAAATCAATTACGCTGAGAAGTATATTCATAAGAATATAATTTAAATTTTTATATGGTACCAGAAGTCTATACTCGACAATCACGTGATTTTATTTTAATTTTTTGGCCGATTCTATATTATGTGATCTGAAATTCAGCCAATAAAAAATCAGAATTTCTTATGTAAAGTACTAATAAAATGCAATTTTTAAAAATTTATTATTACAAACAAGATAAAACATAAGAAAAAGTAGATTTTAGCAATAAATCGCAACTACCATTTCATAAAAGTCATATAATGATAAAAAAATTTTTTTAAAAAAAATTGCATTTAATTCATATTATAATAATTTGGGCTGGCTGCATTATCACAATGCATGGAATCAGCCCAAATTATCATAAGTTCTGGCCAACATATTTTGTTTCAAATTTGGGCTGATCATATGAAAATTATGCAATTTCAAATGCTTATAAGTTATAACTTTTTACGTAAATCTTCTTTTAAAAATCTGACCAGTAATTTGATAAAGCTTACCTTAAAGAATAAAGTTACCAGTTTATTTTTTTTAAATTGTATTTTTTTTAAGAAGTTGAAAGATTTTTAAGTGTTACATTTTTATTGTCGAGTATAGACTTCTGGCACAATACAATATTGTAAAAATATAGTTTTATGATCATGTAATATTATACAAATATTGTAAAAATATTTTGAAAATAACTTTATTATATTGTAAAAGTATTTTAAAGACTTGTAAAAATAACTTTATTATATTGTAAAAGTATTTTAAAGACTTGTAAAAATAACTTTATTATATTGTAAAAGTATTTTAAAGATTTGTAAAAATAACTTTATTATACTGTAAAAATATTTTAAAGATTTGCAAAAATAATTTACTACATCGTAAAAGTATCATAAAAGTATTGTAGAAATAACTTTATTATATTGTAAAAGTATTATGTATAAAATTATAATATATTACATAAATTTGTAAATTTAAAATATTTAGATAAATAATATTTAGTTAGATCAGAAATATACAGTACATCATACATAAATCAACATTCAACATTAGTATCCTAATAGATTCTTACGCAGTAAGCCTTCTGATCATGCTTTAATTAATAGCATGCTTAAGGTTGCTAGAGAAATTAGGGGGTTTTGGCAAGTTGGCAAAATGCTGAAATAGCAAAACTTTGCCGAAACTATATGAAAGTCTTATTAAAAAGTTGGCGAAACTCTGGAGAAAAGTGAAACTTGACAAAACTTATTATAAATGCCAAAATTGCCAAAACCTTGCCAAAACTATAATAAAACTATAGTAAAATCTTGGAGAAACTAATCATAGAATTTTGGAGAGGTTTAGGCAGACAACTTTAAGCATGCTAATGTCTAAAGAGTGAGAACTATTCTAATAAGACTTATTAGATATTATATATAAGAAAAAAAAGCATTATTTAATATCAGTTACCTACTGAAAGATGAGATTTTTCTATTTTCTTAATTTTCATGCTTTGGTTTAGAAAGGTAAATCTCTTAAATTTTACAACTTTGTTGCTTTTCTCTCTTTTTTTGGAAACTTTATTTCTATTTCTTTTTAATATAAAATTTTTATTTCTGGAAAAACAAAATCAAAACTCTATATCGTTTTACCACAAATCCCTTCTACCTTTCATATTCTCTTATATAGTGTTCAGCAATTTCCCAAAAACTAAATTGTACACTAATGGACAATTCTAAAGGTTAACTTAGCAGAGGGTATTGTGTTAAGTTGAGACCTTCCATCTTCATCCAGAGAATAGACTTTATAAGAATATTTGTGTTACTTTCATCTTCTTTATCAAGTTCTATTTGTTTTATATGTATTAAATATTGAGTTAACTTTTGTTTCTTTTATTTACTAGGTAGGAATACACATTAACTTCAAAGTTATCTCCATCTAACAAATAAGCAGATTCAGCCGGTATATTAGTCTTCATAATTAATTATTTCCTATATCTACAATATTATATAGCTTTAATAGCGTAAAAGTATATTACTTGATTCAAGGTAAAAGAATTTTCCCTATAATATAAAACAAAAAATAAAAGCTTACCATTTCTAAGAAAGAAAGCCTACATATTTAAATATAATAACTGTCCTTTTAAACTTTCGTTAATATTTTTTTTTCCAAATAAGGGAACAAAACCTACTTAGAAAAACAAAAAAGAACATTTGAAACTACATTTTTAAATATCAAAAGAGAGCCTACTGAGAAAAAACAAATATGTTTCTCATATTTATTTATTTAAAAGGGAATAAAACCAGAAATCCTACCGAGAAAAAAAGTAATGTACTAAGTTTGTTTATATTACAAATTACACATGATTGAAATCACAAAATTCCACATAACTAAAAATTTTCAATAAAAAAAACTTAAAGTACTGCTAAATTGGTTTAACATCCTGTTAATGTAACAGACAATGTTCAGAAATAAATTAAAATAAAAATAAATAATTTATTTACAAGAATTTTTCATTATCTAAAACTAAATTTAGTTTTCTTTCAATTACATAAGATATATTGGATAATTTTATTGTTTAAATAATCATATCACATTATAGAAAAACTCATTTAGCAAATAAGGTTGCAATAAATCATGACTTTCTATTAAACAATTATCTACACATTGATGAATAAAATGAATTTTTGGCAAGAAAAATAGGGAAAATATTAAGATATTTTTTTCTTTCTGTATATATTTTGTACTTTTGACACATCATTAAAGTATCAACCCCATTTCTTCCTTTATCCTTTTCAAACCAATTGAGTCTGTTGATCACATTTTCGTGATGCAAACATATTAACATAATTTCCCCTAAAAGCGTATAACAAAATCGATCCTGTGAATTACATAAAAAGGTGATATCCCAGTTAGTAAATCTTTTTATCCTTCTTGTACAAATATAAAAGCAAGAAAAATTAAATGAAAATTCTAATAAAATTAATAAAATTTAAATCTACCATTATTTGCATCATCAATATTTACAATCAAACGAACCCGTATATTCCGCAAAGTAATAATAAGGCAAATTGGTTTTATTGCTCAGCTAGCTTTTAGAAGAACACCATCATCTTAATCGATTTTTATGCCTCTATAGATGTCCCAAAATAAATATATTACTTTTCTTATTATATATCGGCATTTTGATAGTTCCATCATTTCTGATTAACTATGAACTTGAAAAATTATTAATAAAGTTTCATCCACTTCAGGGCATTTGCATCAATTTTTTTTTCTTTGTAGAAAACTGTTATCATTGGTAACGATTAGAATCATGTAACTTTGAAATCTAAGCTAAATGCCTTACACCACCTAATTCAAAACATTCATGCGCAGTACCTTTAATTAAGCTTCTCTGAAGCTCTTTCCTCTTTGCAAGATGATGCTTTGGTAAAAATGATTCTCTATATGCGAGTCTGAATGGCAAATAGTATTGGTAGTTCACTGGTTCACGTCTGATCGAGTTATACCAACCAATAGAATTTGTGAACTGGCCTATTATCTGAAATCAGATCACGTATAGATTTCTACGCGTAATGCTATTTCCCAATTTCTGACAACTTTCGATTTGCTTACTTTTTGCTTGATATCTGTAAAACTTTGTTTAGACCTGATAAATCTATATTTCGAGAGTACACCTATCTCAGAATGGTCGTATATGGGATTTTTAGAAGCACTGAAAACTAATTGTGTCTCTGAAGTTCGTTCGCTGGCTGATCAAAAATCTATATGGAGAAAACGATATCTTACATATTTAAGTAACGTTCTTATCGAGAAACAGGATAGTATTAGCAAAGAGCGTGCAACTTTTCTGATTCAACAGGTTTGTCAATTTGAAAAAAAGAATTACTGTACGTACCGTAAATAATCTCTGAGTATAGAGTATCATTCCTCAGTGTGACGGTTGTGAGGTATTGTTCCTCCAGAAAGATCATGCGAAATAGCATATTGGACATACCATCTTTATTGATATTTACTAACCGCATTCCACCTGAAGAAGAAAACTTTTGGAATAATGTCAAGACTGAAAAAGATTTAATGGTAAAGGAGGTACGTATAAACGTTGATTAAGACTTCTCAAAGTGCCAATGACTTTGGTTGCGTTCTCATTTTCAAGGATATTTTCAATAAACAATCGCAAATTGACGCATTAAATGTGCTTGAGGTTACTTGTAATCAAAAATGTGAAGAATATGTTGATAAAATTAATTCACGCTCATTGAAACGAGGTAAGATGTCAAAAGGAGAAGAAGCAGATACATCATTTGGACATAAGCGATCATACGATGATGAATTACCATCAACTTCATTAAAAAAGGTCAGGACTCAGGATATAATTTAATTATTAACCCGCAAGATCTTCTTATGGAAACGAAGAAGAGTTGGCTGAAGAAGATATTACTCAAGAAGATGTTCTGAACTCTGTTTTCGAAGTTTCTGATACTTTCAGGAAAACCAAATTCCCAGTATATTACGAGAAACTCAAGTCGATATGGCATACTCGAGATGCTAAGGCGAATTATTATATTATTGATATGGGAGATGAGGAAACACTAAATCAGGTTCATAAACTTTTGAGCGATAATGAATTGAATTTTTTGTCTGAAAGGTTAAGTTTGACGGATGAGAATGAATGTATAAGTACGGAGGCGCATAGGTACATGATACTGTTTGATGAGATCATTGAGGAAAGTAATTATGATGATGATGATATAGAAGGCGAGAATAATGATATAACTGATTAAAGAAACAGCGAGGAGTTTGAGAAAGCCATCGCAAAAATAAAGAGAAAAGTTCATCAATTAGACAGTCTATCCAAAAAATTTCACTATATATCTAACACCTTTCCTATTCCAGCAGAGAGTTATGATCAATCAGAAACGCCCGATATTTTTGTTATTAAGAGCATCTCTAGTCACCTTAATACAATCACAAAAATGAATGGTTTAATGAGGAATACTCCTAAACGTACATGGACAGCTCATGTATTAGCTTATCTCATGTGAACGAGATATTTCTACCAAGATCGATGCTCAAAATAATGGGTATAAAGCTAATGGTATCTTTGGAGCTTTTTGAGCGACCAAGGCAAATTCCTTTATTTTTGCTTGAGGTGTCAGAAAAGATTGAGAAGTTTAAGGAGTTTGAAAGGGAAAGTTAGCAACGCATTGTGAAGTCTAGAATCAAGTATGCAACTGGAGTTACACCAGAACGATCTAGAGTTGTTACCTTTTCACAATTCTTACCAATAGTATTAAAAGAGAATAGTGAAGTGAGTAAAGGGAGGGGAAGGGGAAGAGGAAGAGATCCTGTATGAGCTGTAATCTGGTGTATTAGTAAAATTTTCAACAATCGATTTCAACATTAAACATTGAAACAAATTGTTTAATAGTCTTTCGTAGTATAATCTCTTGTATTTATTCACTCCATATTTGTAATAACTAATAAGCCACAAATAAAAAATTTGCATTAAGCGTGAGAAGTCATAAATAAGCTTTATACTTAAGTTAAAACCCAATCATGGTAGGGAAGAGCTCGTGCTCTTGTTAAAGGTAAACCAAAATTTTCTAATGCTTTTGCGAAAGAGGGAAAGGGCTGAGAAAGTCTATAAGCTTTTCAATATAGTATTGGTAAATCAAAAATAGCATGAATTAGATCTTTAACTGCAGGGTGATAACTTTTAAAATACTCTCGAATAAAATAGCTTTATAATTTTTTTCTGCTTCACCCTGAAAGAGCATAATTGCCTGTCTCATTTCACAATTCTCAATACTTTTCCCTTTTATAATTAATACATGGTAAAATGTACCAATACTTTAGGTTACACTGGTATTAATTCGGGCCAACACTATAAATTTGGCCAAAGTTAACATAAAGGTTCCATCCAAATCACATGACATATTAGTGCTGCATTAATGACGGTATATGTAAAAATAATTTGATATACTGATATAGTATCGGTACATAGAGGTCCAACTGTATTGTTTATATAATATTTTAATCGTTATGATAAAATTATAAATTATTGGAATATAATGTTCGCAACAAGAGTTTCTAATTTGTTGTATCACATGATAGGTGGCTGTGACGCTGCGTCTGCGCCATTAACCGGTACCAGGATATTAAAATCTAGGGGAGTTGTGAGAAGAAAGTCAATTATATCATTATGACAATTATCATGTAACATAAAATTTATAAAAGTTTTTAAATCATTTCTTTCAGCAATCTATAAAAAAATACGTTTTTAAATAATTTCTTTCAAAAAAAAAAATACATTTTTTTTATACATTTCTCGTAAATATTACAAATATGGATGGTGCTGGTAACAGTAGTAATGGTGGTAAGTAAGTTTTTAGAGTATATAGCAAGTTTTCAAGTTTATTAATACCATTATTGTCATCTAAGGACAACTACAACTGTCTCCCGAACTACAAGAAGTACTTGACAGCTTGACTCCAAAACAGAGAAGGGATTACAATGCCTGCATTTTGAACAGTAAAGTCGGAGTGTTGGAAATGATTTTAGAAGATCGAAAGAAATCGGCACATTTATAAAATATTATCGCAACTATCGTGCTCTCACATACTCATTTACTTATTTTGCGATCAATATATTTCACATTTGCACTGAAAAGGTTTTTCGTCACTTTTTATTTCCTATAAAACCGATAGGAAGTCTTCTGTGGACTGATTTCCATTTTCATTTACGCAATTATTACAATTTCCGTTTGTATAGGAAGCGCAGTTTACTTTTCAAGCGAAAAATCAACCAAAATTTTCATTTTAATTCAAATTGTGTAGGAATTATTTACAATAAATTACATGATGTAATCATTGTTATACCGCCATTATTAGAAATATCACTTGCGGTGATTCTAGGACTTTATGTCCAACCACCGGTTTTAACAGTCAACTTTATAAATATCGGACTAGAAGTGTCTAAATTTATCGCGTCGTCTATTCTTCGGCTATACTAAGGATTTGGTGGTCACTTGATCATTTATTGTTAACACACAATCTAAGGCACTTGTAAATTGCTTTGTAATGTAAAATATTTATAGATTGCTTTATTAAAAACACTTGTAAATTGCTTGTCAGTAATGTATACAAAATTAATTGCATAATCTGAATATTTTACTTAGAGGATGATGCGGGTTTTGGTTAGGTATTTTTATTTCAATTCAAAAAATCTCAAAATCTTGTTTGAAGAAAATTTACTATTTACTAAAAAAAAAAATCTAATTTATGAATGAATTAATTGGAAATTTTGATGATTTTTATTAGATATTACTAAAGAATGATTAAAATAATTCATGTATAGCGCTCTTTTATCAAAAAAATTCAAGTCACGTAGTCGTGTCTCAGTACTAACCAATAAAATTGTATTATTATAATGTTTTGATTATCAAGCAAGAGTTGAGTTTATCAAAAATGTTGAAAACTGATTAAAAGAGCCCCACTTTTGCGGCGTACCCCATTATAAAAAATATTAATTCTGTAGAATTAGGCTAATTCTGGGCAATTTAGCCATGTTCCGTACAAATACCTGATATAATTTCAATTTTAAATAATTCCTGGGATAAATAGGATAGCTTTGTTTTAAGGTAAACTAATATCGTTCGTAATGCCGGCAAGTGAATAATATCGAGTTTCTTCTATAATTAATTTCTAAATGTTTGATTTGCAGATTATAAACAACACATAACATGAGGCATAAGGATTTGATACAAATTATTCATAAGAATCCATCGAGTTATTTACAATTAAAGATAATTCTACGTAGGGATTGTGCGATGATTGTTTTAGAAAGAATAAATATTAAAAACAAATTTATTGAGATACAGTATATTATGTGAAAATAATTTACAACAAAAATTAGAACTTAATATTGAAGGAAAAATAATGTGACATCTTAAAACATTACATGTTTATTTTTTAATTTGAAATACTTCGTAATCATTTATATTAAAATTTGATGGAAAATGAATTTTATGATAAGTAAATTGATTACTTGACCAATTACCATTAGAACATAATAAATCATTTCCACTACCAAAAGTTGGCCCACAACATGGATTACACCATATAGAATATATTTGATTCTCATCAATAGGATAACTAGCTTTTGCAGTCTGGAGGTTACTTTTATTTGTAAATAAGAATATGAAACTATCTTTTGTTGATTTATAATAACCATTATATGAATACACCGGTTTCCAATCCAATGGATTATAACCTCCAACTATTTGTTCTGAATCTGTAAATCTTGCAATAACTATAGTAGGACCTTTATTATCACATTTTTTATGGAATTCTGCATCCGTATTACCATCTCTACTAGCACGATAAAGTAAGTTGAATTTATATGGAATATTTTTTTCGTTATAGTAAGAACTATTTTTCTTTTCGATCCAACTGGCAAAAATAGCAAAATGTTGAGAATTAATTATGATTGAATGTGATTTTCGATAAGGTTGAGTAATAATATTTTGTCTATTATTTGGTACCATATGATATGCAAATATATTATTGATTAAATCATTTGGTAATAATTCTTTAAAAGGATATACTTTTAAAAGAAAATCTTCAGAAGATATATTATAAAATCTGATTGATGGAATAAACCTGTTTAATCTTCTTCCCATCACTGTAAAATCATTTTTATTCCATTTATTAATATCTTGGTGAGTAACAGGATTCTGACCACAAGCCCATTTGAATAAATTTTCCCAAATAATGATTTCGTCATCAATGCAAAAATCATCTCGTTTCAAAAATATTTCTAAAATAGATGGATTAACGGTGAGAAATTTAGTTGATTTAAATAAGAGATCTGGATTATAACAGATTCGTTGGATATTAAAATCCCATAATTTATCAAAAGATTTTTTTTGATAAGTTAATTCAAGAGTTTCAATAACATTATTTGCAGTTAAATCAAAATAATTTTCGATCAAAATTTTCTGAATATAAGTAATTAAAGGTTGAAGTCCAAGCTCATCTAATGGTAACAGTAGATTTATTATATCAAAGGGTTGTAATTTTGTTATGTCGATGCTTCCACTATACATATAACTAAAAAAAAAAAAAATGAAAATCTTCATATGAAACAATCCATTTATCATAGTCACTTAAAAATCTTTACAAAAAAAAAAAATACCTTAAAAGAATTTCAAATATTTTAGGTGAATAATTTAAATTTAAAATAAAATAACCATCCTTTTTTTGAATTTCTTCCGTAAAAGCACTTTTAAAAAATTTAGATTGTGTTTTTAATATGAAGGAATGAACATGAAATTCTTTTATATTTTGTTTTTCACCAGCATAAATCTTCGTGTCATATCCTTCCTTGGTTTCATAAAGATTTTTATAATTATCAATTATTTCCTTATAAAAATTTATAGACATAATGAGAAAATAATTTTTTATAAAAATCACTTTTGTAGAAGTATTTATAATCCGAATGACGTTACACCATTAGAAATGTCAAATGTGCAAAATAAACATAATATCACCTTTTTTGGGTGAATAATGTGGAAATTATCCAAGGGATTTTTTTGACGATCATATCCTCGTGAGATTGGAAAAAATTCAAAGCGTAATAATGATGTATTAAAAATTTTTCAGATGAAAATGGAATTCACTTTTCCATTTTTGATTTCCCTTTTCGTGAGAATAAAATTGTCTTGAAAAATTCACATAATAAGAATGGAATCCACTTTCCATTTTTGATTCCTAAATAGAAATTTCACTAACATAAAAAATTGTCTCACGTTAGAATTACTTCAAAGATAGATAATAAATTAAAATAAAAAATTTAGTTTTTTTAAATAAGTAATCTGGTTAATTACAAATTCATTTATATCATTTATATCATTTATATCATTTTGATTAATTTGATAATTTTCAATAATGATAATTCGATTTACAAATCGTAATTTAAAATAAAGAAATTTATATTATCGCTGTTTTCAGAATTCTGTTACCAATGCAAAATAAAATTATTGGTTTACAGGATGATTACTGGACAAATTGTCCGGTAATCATCTTGTAATTATAATCACCCAGTAATCACGTACACAGATATCTGAAAACTGGTAGCATTCAGAGGATGGGGTGGTTGTAGAATTGCAATAAATCTTCCGTAAATCACGGTATCTGATTTAATGATGAAAAAGCGAATATCTTTTTATTTAATGGCTGGAGTAATTTTGGTAGTATTTTATTATATGTGTTTTATTATGTTTTTAAAAGATGATAAATCGAGGAAATCCATCCATAAAAAGCTGAATATGTAAAACAGTTACTTAATTATCATAAATAGTATATAAAAAAAATATTAAGTTACTTATTATTAAAATATAACTTGAAATACTTCGTAATCACTCACATTGAAATTACGTGGTAAATCGATTAAATAAGTATGTGGAATACATCCCCAAGTACCATTTTGATGCCAACATAAATCATGGCCACCACCAAATCTTGGCCCATAAACTGAATTACTATATATAGAATTTTGTTGTTGATTTTCTTTCGGGTAACTTACTTTTGCAGTTTGGAGGTTATTTCTATCTGCAAATGAGAAAATAAAACTATCTTTTGTTGGTTTATAATACCTTGAATTAATTATAACCGGCTTCCAATCCAATGGATTATATCCTCCAACTATTTGTTCCGAACTTGCAATTTTTGCTATAACTATAGTAGGTCCTCCATTATCACATAGATTATGGAATGCTGCAGCTGTATCGCCATCTCTACTAGCACGATAAAGTAAATTGAATTTATATGGAATATTTTTTATATTATAATAAGAATCATTTTTCTTTTCAATCCAACTAGCAAAAATAGCAAAATATTGAGACTTAATTATAACTGAATCACTCCTTGATCTTTTGGTAATAAGCTAATAATTTTTGTTGTGCTATTAGATACTAAATAAAATTGCATAATTTCACCCTTCAGTTTTTTTGGTAGTAATTCTTCATAAGGAAATACTTTCTCATAATAATCATCAGAAGAAATATCTTGAAATCTAATCAATGGAATTAATCTATGTGTGGTACGTTTCATTACTTCAATATCATCATTGGTCCATTTTGAAGGATCTTGATCAATATTAAGATTTTGAGCGTATGACCATTTTATCAAATAATTCCAAATTTCAATTTCATTTAATGTAATATTTTCTTGTTTAAGAATGAGTTCAATCATTTGGGATGATAACATTAAAAAAGTATTATTTTCAAATAATAAATCTGGAGTTTTATGGATGATTTCTAAACAATGGTTTCGTATAAGTTCAAAAGTATCACTTTGAAAAATATTTTCAAGAAATTTAACCACATTATTTTTGATAAATTCTTCTTGATTATCAATTAAAAATTCTTGAATATGCTTTACAAGTGAATGTAATTCAAATTCGTTTGCCGTTGTTATAAAGTCACAATATCTGAAGAACTTTCAACACTTAAATTAATCTTTCCGCAATATAAGAACCTATTATTAAAATTATTTTAATTTTTTTTTGTATACATTAATTTAAAAATTATTTTGAGATAAATTACCTGAGAATATTTTCCAAAATTTTTGATGGAATATTAGATTTCTTTAAAATGTACTTTCCGTCCTCCTTTTCCTTCAAATTAGAACGAAAATAATTTGAATGACAACAGAGAATTATGGAATGAGCATAAATTTCTTGTACGTTTGATTCTTCTCCCGCTTGTATAATAACGTCATAATTCTCTTTATTTTCAAAAAGATGTTCAAGATCTTTCATAAGCTCCGGCCAAAATTTTGACTCCATTTTCTTCTTTTTTTTTAAAAAAAAAAAAATTTCATAGGCCAATTTATATAATAATTAACCAAAATGTAAAAACGGGTCATTAATTTTCCAAAAATGTAAAAGCGGGTTTTTAATTTTTTAAAATGTAAAAACGGGTCATTAATTGACCAAAATGTAAAAACAGGCGTTAATTTTCCAAATGTAAAAGCGGGTCATTAATTAACCAAATGTAAAAAAACGGGTTTAATCAACGCTAGAGTAATTGATTGACCAAAAATATTAGGTTTGATCAACGCTACTAGCAATTTATATCTGCAGATTCACTATTTAAATATGTAGCGCAATAGGGTAAATAAATCGATTACGATTGAAATAGTTGAAAGAATTATAATTGCCGCCTGAAAAACTTACTCTTCCCTCTGTAAATAAAGTTCCTGCTGTCCTTTACTAAATAATATAATAATAATAATATTTAAGAATTCTTTTTTGTTCAACAAAAACTAATAGTCCTCAGTATGATAATTATGATTTAATTGGCGAATAGAAAATATTTTAACAATGACCGATACTTCTATCGGATAAACATATCTCGGTAATTAATTTTTATTATTTTGTTTTCTTATTACAATTTGTTAAATAGTAAAAGTAAAATATATCAAAAAGGATGAAATTATCACTAAAGCCTAACTTTATTATACCAACGCGATGAAGAGAATGAACATGTAATTACGATTATGAGCTGAGTTTTCATTAAGTCCTACAATTATTTTTAAACTAGTAATAAAGTATAAAAAATTCTATAACTATAACATAAAATTTAATATATTATTTACTAGTTGTAACCTGTTGCTTCGCACCAGGATTGGCTGGCTGGAAATAATATAATCATATAAATTTCATTTTTTTTGAATTTGTTGAACGTCACGTAATAAACTGGCCAATGGAAATACGGTTGCACAATTTAGAATTTATTTATACAGGTAATCTAAACGTTACAAATTTTTTTTAATTATATAGAATTTTTCTTGAAGCCTGAATTATATTATTAAAGGAATATTAAGTCAGAATAAAATACCTGGATGTAGAATAAAATTTTACACGGACGGAAATTATTTATTTTCAAATTACCCTATGAATAATATAAGATAACCGGCTGAGTCAATGAAAACACCATACGTTGGCTCGATCCAATCACGAATTTTTCAGTCAATTATTAATTATAGTATTCAGATTAAATATGGTGAAACTTATCCCAAATATAAACATATATTTAATTTGTTTCAAAAAAAAATAAAGTTTAAAGATAAATAATTCTCATTCAGTTATTTTAAACAAAAATATTTTTATATTAATTCTTAATTTAGGCCAGTTTATAAATTTTGGCCTGCATTATATTAGTATTAAACTGGCCAAATTCCTTTAAATTTATTCAAAACATAGTAAAATAACCAAAATTAAAACTTTTATATCTTATGCTACAGTAATTCAATTTGAAAAAACTCTCTGTTACATAAAAGCATACTGTTTAAACTACAATATTACAGAAAGTTTTTTTAAAAAATATTGATTAAATTTTTTTTTCTATTCATTTGAAATCACATAATAAAAAGTGGTGGCTTTAGACTGTGTGCACCATATAATACTAAATTTTCACCATATTTTTTTAGCCATCAAAATATTTGTTTTCTTTAAAAATATTATGCAAACGATATTGTCAAATCAATTTCATTTGATGTTATGGAAATCATAAACTTAACATATACCTTCTTTGCGGCGAAAGAATTATTACTTGCGTGGGCGGATATCCAAAGATTACGTTTCTTTCAAACATTAATCATATAAATGAAGGTCTATCATATCAAGGACAATGTCATTAGACGTTCTTAGTGGTAAATTTATTAAAATAAATAATAGGTTTATCGTAAATATTCCATAATAATATGTTAAATAATCCCTTATAAAAAAAAGAAAATAAAATTCAAAGAACGAAATTCTGATAAACTTTATAAAAAAAATTATTTTCTCTAATTTTAAAACTGATAATAGTACGATTTTATTAAGAAATCTTAGTCATGTCCTTTTATCATAGTATAATAAATATATTCTTTATTTGGATACACTTTCGAAATATTACCAAAAAATTTACACGCTACTACTATAATCTTTACATGCGTATTTATTATACCCTGTAAGTTATACTTAATGCTCCCAATGCTTGGAACCTATCTGCTATTCATATTTTTTTTTTCTGTATTGATTTTGTGGTATTAATTATCGTCCTTCCTTTTTATCTACACGTTCATTAATTCGAGTTTATCAAAATCAACATACATATGGGTACTATGCTATGTAGTTTGGATTTTCTCAAACACTAACTGAAGAGATCATGAAAATTATTGCCGATAACGAGAAGGTTCCAAAAAAAATATAGCCAATCAAGATCAAATATTTCGAAAAAACAATGTTACCGCATGATTTGCATTTGCAAAGGAAACTTTGATGCATACTAAATCTAATCCTTTTAATTATTTTTTTAATCTCAAGAAAATCAGGTACGCTACGCGTATACTGAATTTGTTGTAGATCCCTTTGACTTTTATAGTTTTCTGAAATTTCGGAAACACGTCTCTGTAAATGAATAAAATGATAAAATGGGATAAATATGTAGATGGTGTTTACTTAACAGTGGTTCTGATACATTAAGAATTCGTACCTCCGGAGTCACAAAATATATAAAATTCGATTCAATTATGGTAAACTGGGTTCGTCTATCACGAGCCTTGAAGTAAGGAAAGGCCATGATCGGTATAAGCCATCAAACCGTAAGTCCATAACATATGATTATATGATTGTAAAATATCACCTGTAATTTTCAATAAATAATTAGCAAATAATAAAAGAGAACAAATTGATACGTTGCTTTAACAGAATGGTCCATTCGCACTTCATAATCTTTACCCCTTTTACAGAAAATCGGATTTATGTAAGGATATAAGAATTTTGAGCAATTTTCTATTTCAGACATTGTTTTTGATGCAAGATTGGGGACGCTCTCTCGTCCTGTTATGAAATAATTTTTGTTAGACAAATCTTATAAAATACTGTAAAAATCGTGCAAACTTACAGTTTGTTAAATGCTCGTGATGAGATCTTGCTAAGAGGAGTTTTGATCTGGATAAATTAAGCTATCATCTCCACATAAATGCTTTAATGCAGCATCGTGTAAAGATGCCAACACTGAAGGTGGTATTCCGTGATCTTTTAACTTGTATGGATTTGTATCATAATTATTTTCCACTGTTCGCGAGTGAAAAAATTTTGATTGGGACATTGTTGTGTGAGTACAATAATATTTGAAAGTGCTCTAATATATTATGATGTTCCAGGTTGTAAGCTATAAATATCATAATACTTACAAAATATCATATGTATGGTGCCACGTCAGCCCGGATAATAAAATTCCTATTATCATAACAGGTAGCTGATCCCTCATCCAGAATCAGTAGACCTTAACAAATGCACCACTACACTTTCCCGTGCCAGTAGTGTTGTTAGTACATGTCTGGGCGCATCTTCCCCTATGCCATCAGCATAGAGTGCAGCACACTCATCGCCCATGAATATCAACCTTTTGCAATGTGAGAGCCTTTTCTAATCCTTTTGTTTCTGACTCAAGATTTTTAATTAATATTTTTAATATTTGTTAGTTCTGTTCTTAAAGTGTTGTATAACTCGGCTTTCTTAGCATATGGTTTTCTTTGAAGAAAAAGTTGTCACATTTTTCCATGTTCCCAGTATCTTGTGGATCGGTAATATAAGGTACCGGGCAATACAGAATTTGTATGAAAGGAAGCCGTAAAGAAAGAAAAAGACCTAATAAAGAGAAGACCTAAACGCAGAGAAGATAGACCTAAAAAAAAAGAAGACGAAAAAGAATAAGTTAAAATGCCACACACACACACTCCCACACTCCCACACTACACTCCCAACCCGCACACCTAAAGAGAGACGTAAAGAAAAAGGCCTAAAAGAAGATCTAATTAAGAGAAGACCTAGACAGAGAGAAGATAGACCTAAAAAAAAAAAGATGACGAAAAAAAATAAATGAAACGGCACATACACAAACTCCCACACACAAACTATTCTAGATGGGATACAGCATTAGAATATATTTAATTCAGTGATTAGTAAAGATAAATAAAATCCTTACCTTTATAATGAACTTTCTTAAGAATTTCTTCAGATAGGACCCATTTTTCCTTTGGCGTATTAGTATTGATCATTAGTGAAAACACAAAAATACGCTTACTAAAAGTCAATAAAAATAAAATGAAAAAAAAAATGAATGGGTATATATAGGATATTGAAACAGTCGTCCTGCGGAATTTAAAATTACTTCTGTACTTTCTGTACTGTGCGACGAATAGTTTCATTCAGTATAATAAAATTTTGATAAATTTGATTGAATAGTTAATTTTCCCAATACTTTTAGCAAGCAATGTGTTAAGTGTAATTGATGTAAGATAATTGATCGGAATTTTTTGATCAGTTTGATCGAGTAGACTGGTAAATAAATTTAAACCTCTGAGTAATACGAATGTTGGCTCAAAATATTTAAAATATTTATAATAACTAATGTGGCTTTGTCATTTACTTGATATAGAGATGATAAAAAGATAAAGCACAGTAAGATTAGATTTCTCCGAATCTAATTGAGTTACAAACTAGTCATAAAATAAATTCTGAGAAATCTATAATCTAATATTAGATCGTATTTTATTGTAAAGCCATATAATTTGTATACTATAATAGGAACTACGCCATTCATATGAATAAAATTTGAGTACACGTTTAAATCAGATTAAATCAGATTAATTACGAACCTGACCTAAACATTTAGTAAATGTTTTGATGCAATTTTAATCACTAGTCAATGAAAAAAAAATAATTTATTGATAATATTAATTTTATAACGTGTAAAAATTTAGTTGGACCGATCTTTATAGTATGATTTGACATCATCTTCATGCCGGACATAAAATTATTGTATTTTAATCACAAAGGTACTTTGATAGCTGTATTTTAAAAATATGATTACTAATCACTAAGCCACAATTCGAAGTATTGATTACAATCACTTTTTTTTGTAAATAAATATTATATTATAAGGTAAAGTCCCCGGGTACATGATTTTTTAACCCCTATCACATGATGATCATTTTTAAGGTATCAAATAAAAATTTTTTTAACGCGTTAACGCGTTGCGGTTTTTCTTCACAGCTTCGAAACGTCTTGCAAGTTTCTAATATTATATATATATTTTTTTGTTAATTAGCTTTAAGTAACTCTTTTTTCTTCATAGATAGTTTTTTTCCAGCTTAGGGGACTTTCAGTAAGTCTTTTATTCCTACAATATATGTTTCTTTTTGTTAATTAACGTTACCTGATCTTTTTTTTGTAGGTACTTTTTTTCTTAGCTTCAGAGCTTTCAGTAAGTTTTTTTTTAATATTGTGCCTATTTCTATTCATCAATTAATGTTAACCGTCCTCTTTTTTTAGGTAGTTCTCTCTAGCTTTCAACTTGGCCTTGAATTTTAGCATTGGTGTTCTAATAAATAGTTTCAGGTATTTCAGGCATTTCGGTCTTTAGGAATTTATTTTCTTTAACTAACCAGTCTCGTTTTCTTTTTTTTTGGTCGGGTTTTTTATTTTATTTTGTTTGACTTGCTTCTTTTTTTGTCTTGGACTTATTTCTTCTGATGCTTTGGGCTTACATCATATCTTTTAAAAAATGTGAAAAATTTTTTTTATGTTTATACTTTATATTTGTTATCTGACTTCTTATTATTGGATTGTATTTATTTCTTTTTTTATTTATCAATTACAGCACTATTTTGTATTGAAATACTGGACAACAGATGAAAGTTCTCTGAATGGTCTGAATGGAGTATTATTGATTTTTAGATGAATGTAAATGGCTCAAGAGACTTTAAAAGAGGTGTGTATTTTTTTATTTGCAAAGTGGGTAACTTCCTAAGTCAAAATTAGAACGGATAACTCATTTGAGTCGGGGAGTTCACAAATTTTACTTAGGAGGGTACTGGATTTGTTTGTTTGGGTTGGGTAAGGGTGAGCAAAGTGGGTAATTCCTTGAAATTACCTGCTTTTTTCTTTTTTCTTTTATTTTTATTTTTATTTTTTTATTCCCTTTTCTTCTTTTTTTTTATTTTTTTTTATTTCTCTTGTTCATTTGATAACCAACTCAAGCAGATAAAATCCTACTTTGTTATTGGTAAAGTCTGCTAATTCTAAAGGAGGAATTGGCTATGTCTTCTTTACCATTAAATAAAAATTTAGCACACTATTAATAATTTTTTCTTTCTTATAATAGGTAAATGCAGAGATTTATAATTACTGGTAAAATGAACAAATTTCCTAAAGAAGTCCTTGAAAAAGAGTGCATATCAAGTATTAAAAATGTGAAAAAATTTTTTTATGTTTATACTTTATATTTGTTATCTGATTTCCTATTATTGAATTGTATTTATTATTTATCAATTACAGCATTATTTTGTATTGAAATACTGGACAACAGATGAAAATTCTTTGAATGAGCATTACTGATTTTTTAGAAAGTGTTGTGACATGCCGCCCATAGGATATTAAAATTAAATATTGTATGTTACCACTGACGTGTTGAGTTCGAATAATATTTATGCTTGGTTTAAAATAAAATTAGTTATAAAAATTACACAAACATTATTTTCTTACCAAATATTATTTTTATTTATTTTAAAATCTCAAACTTAATAATATAATATTAATTAATTCTCAAGCGTACAATGAGTATATTCATATTTGAATAAATTTTAATAATTAATATTTTTATATTATTTTTTTATTGAGCCAAAAATTGACTGTGGAATTTCCTATCGAAATCCACTTGTATTTATACATTTTTAAGAAAAATATTTCCCATATTTACTATCTTTTCTAATAAAATTTGAAGATCTATTATCATATGACTATCTCGTTACACTAAACTAAACTATAAATATAATTTTATTGGCTAATTATTTACCCATCGGTTAATTATTTATCCTTCGGCTAATTATTTATCCTTATTCTATTCTATTGTATTTTTCGGTTATTACAGTGTAAATGGCTCAAGAAACTTTAAAAGAGGTGTGTATTTTTTTATTTGCAAAGTGGGTAACTTTCTAAGTTAAAATTAGAACTGATAACTTATTTGAGTCTGGGAGTTCACAAATTTTACTTAGAAGGGTACTGGATTTGTTTGTTTGGGTTGGGTAAGGGTGAGCAAAGTGGATAATTCCTATAAAATTACCTGCTTTTTCTTTTCTATTTTATTTTTATTTTTATTTTTATTTTTATTTGTTTATTCCCTTTTTTTCTTCTTTTCTTTTTATTTCTTTTGTTCACTTGATAACTAACTCAAGCAAATAAAATCCTACTTTGTTATTAGTAAAGTCTGCTAATTTTAAAAGGAGGAATTGGCTATGTCTTTTTTACTATTAATAAAGTCTGCTAATTCTGGAAAAGGAATTGGCTATATTTTCTTCATTGTCTGAAGTATGAGAACATACTACTTCTACGCATTTCAAATGCAATGTTATTCTGTATTATAGCCTGATCAATAAATGAAATTTTGTGTTACATATATACAAATTTAGCCATATGTTATGGATCTCATGATATCAATAAAATTTTAATAAATAAATAAATAAACTTTAAGCAGAAAGGGCTAAAACTTTTACTTATTTTGATAGAAAAAGCAATATTGAAAAAATTATGTTAAGGGTGAAAACTGATTATATTGTAACTTAGAATGAAAGTATTTAGTGAGATATCTTAGACAAATATTACACAAGAATTTGGGTATACACAGCACGCTGATAATTTTTTTTAGTATTAAATGTACAATTATTAATTATACTGAATACTTCAGACATTCTAACAGTTTTTGTTTCCTAGTTATTAAATAAAAATTTAGCATATTATTAATAATTTTTTCTTTCTTATAATAGATAAATGCAGAAATTTACAATCACTGGTAAAATAAAGAAATTTCTTAGAGGAGTTCTTGAAAAGAGTGCGTATCAAATATTAAAAATGTGAAAAATTTTTTTATGTTTATACTTTATATTTGTTATCTGATTTTTTATTATTAAATTGTAATTATTTCTTTTTTTATTTATCAGTTACAGCACTATTTTATATTGAAATACTGGACAATAAATGAAAGTTTTCTGATGGTTACTGATTTTTAAATAAATGTAAATAGCTCAAGAGCCTTTAAAAGAGGTGTGTATTTTTTTATTTGCAATGTGGGTAACTTCCTAAAGTTAAAATTAGAACAGATTACTCACTGCATTAAATTGGGAAGTTTACAAATTTTACTTAGAAAGGTACTGGATTTGTTTGTTTGAGTTGGATAAGAGTAAGTAAAATGGATAACTTCTAGAAAAATTTAAAATGGATTATTCAATTGAATTGGAAAGTTCATAAGGTTGATTTAAAAAAATTACCTGCTTTTTCTTTTTTATTTTATTTTTATTTTTATTTTTTTATTTTATTTTTTTCTTTTTTTTATTTTTTTTTATTTTTCTTATTCACTTGTTCACTTAATAATTAATTTAAGCAAATAACATCCATCAGAAAGTCACAGGAAAAATATATATTATATGTACATTTATGCAAATTATATACATTATGATATTTATTCTTTTAATGTATATGCAATATTTATTGACAATAAATATCATTTGCTCAATATCTAGTAATAAACATACACTGTATATAATACTGATGTTGAGTAATGTAATTATACTATAATAACTTTTTAGTTTATGGATCAAAATATGGCTGTTTCAATTTAATCTTTAGTTTAACGTCCTTTTCCCCCTCTATTTTTGAAAAATTCAGGAATGATTTAAACATAGTGTTCTGAAAGGGTCAGGTCAAACCTGGGTCATTTGATCCGACCCGTGTTTAAAATCTGAATCGGGTTTATCATTATTTGACACGAGTTTTATATTCAACCTGACCCGTCGGGTCAGGGTCACACCTTTGCTTGACCCAGGTTGACCCGGGTTGACCGGGTTTAATCAAATATTTATATTTAAAATATTTATAAACACAATTTTTAATTTCTAACTTTGTGTATAAAATGAGTGAGGCTGAGAAATTAACTCTTGGAAAACGAATTTAGTTAAGAAGTCTATAACCCTTGAGCAGATCGAAATCAAGATGTTCTACTATG